AATGCACTATATAAGCAACTTACTGAATCATGCAATAACTATACACTATGTACAGAAGTTCCTCACTCACTCTCTGTCTTGATCAATCATTACAAAGAGGGAGTTATCTTTTATCAATTATATGTTATACAAGAGCAAGAAAAACCTTTGCACAAAAATCAATTACAACTTGTAACATAAATATAAGGGGAAAAAGTCATGCTACCCCCTTACATGGCCACATGGCCATAAGCTCTTGATGAGCAGTATCATGAGGATTATAAGGAAGATCAATTAAATTGGATCCGGGTGACATGGATGTCTTATAAAAAAAAATTGGCCAAGGGGCGAGTGATGGGAATGTCTCATGGAAAAACTTTGGGTAAGGGGTGGGTGAAAGGATCGTCTTATGGGAAATTGTTGCCAAGTGTCGAGTGATAGGAACATCTAGACATAAGTACTCAAAGCAACTGGAGTGGTATTGATCAGGTGGCTCAGATACTTGTTCATGAGCTACTGCAGGATTTCCACAGGTCAATGAACGTGAATTTTACCATCCGTCAATAATGCCTGGGAGAGAGTAGTTTCCAAGGAACACTATGTCCATTTGCAGGTACCTATTCCTGTCCACTGTTACCGGCTGTGTTGGGTGTGTTATGGAAAATTGAATGATTTGAATATATGAAAAATAACACAATGTTACTTATTGTTACGGTAACCATACAGAATGTACATATCCTAAAAAGATAATATGGAGTCTACTTAACAAAAATATTCTATTATCTCTTGATACAGCATAACAAATGAAAAACATAGATCTCAGGAAAATGGGAAAATGGCAAAACAGCAGAAATGTATCTGCAAAAAAGGGCTAATAGCATTATGAAGAGGAGGCAAGGAGTCTTAATATTGCGCATCAATATTCGTTTGGGTCAGGCATGCATGCCATAAACCCAGGACAAATACCACTCAAGGAAGCCTTATGCCTAGATTTTGTTCCACGGACGTGCCACATGGCACCCAGATCCAACAGGTTAATAAAGACATTCTGTTAATTATACTGCAAAAGAAAGAAAAGAGAAATAAAGGAAAATAGGGGTACAAACAAGACTTACCATTTTTTCAGCTTTCTGGCACAGTAAGGAAGAAGGTAAAATCAAACAAAAGAAAAAAATTACAATGAAACCAACCCCAATCGGGAGATAAATAACAATCTCACCTTGAAAATGCTTCTGATTTTTTACAGTTAACAAATATATATATATATATATATATATATATATATATATATATATATATATATATATATATATATATATATATATATATATATGACCCTAGCTAACACCTAACATTACTGCCAACACCTATTTCAGAATAAAATGTGATCCAGCAGACCTTTCTGTATGTTCATTGCTACCTTCACTGCCTCCATCTAACTCTGTAACAAACTCAAGCTTTATCTAACATTTGCTTGCACTGCCTTTGTTTGCTCTAGAAAATATGACCAAACCTCACAACTAGGTTTTTGTGCCTAAACAATTGTGAATATAACTCATACAAATATGAAATGCACAGATACTAAGAATCTACAGAAATGCATAGACAGTCATAGTTACACCTCAGTATCTAACATTTTGGCAATATGAAATTTGTTTTCAATTAAAGATATACCAGTTACCTAATTTCTATATACATCTGACCCTTCACATTCCTACACACTCGGCTATAGTTAAAATCAATGATTGTCTTCTCCAGATATTGCTAGTACAATAATGCTAGCCTACAACTGGACTATAACAGTTGCATCCTTCCTAAGACTTTATTGTTTGAACTTGTGCTGTAATATACATACTGTATATGTTGTGTGTGTAAATTTTACATGCTTATATGTAAATCTATCTCTCAATATAATTAAAGTAATTTCAAATAATCAAAAAGAGCCCTTAACAAGACTGTCTCTCAAAGAATAGAGCAATCCCTGTATGATTTCTTTAACAAGTCTCAGCAGCATCTTTTTCTTATATATCCTAAAAGAGCAAGCCTATCCACAGACAAAACAGACTGAAAAACCATCTTTCATATCATGAGCTCTGTCTCCAGTAACTCCAGTAGTTCTCATTGGTTTTAGTTACCTGCCCTCCTTTTCCTTGAAAAGCAAAGCACTGAGACTTACCTGTACTGGCCAAGATCTGCCATGGCTGGGTCGAGGTACTGTGAGCGAAGGTGCTCTATCTGTTTAGAGGCTTGGCGAAGACCCTCTGTGGCCATGGTGGAAGCCATGTTCGAAGCCAAGCCCAGACGACTGCTACTGTTACTGTAACACCATATGTCTGAGGCTACAGTGACAACTGATACAATACTGATGGCTATCAAATCAGGATAGGCTATCATCACCTACATAGCCAAGGCATACAGCAAGACTTGAGGGGAATTGAAATGCATTAGTAACGAGAATGATAAAATTAGTTCAATTGTAGTTTATTAAGCCGTGCAATTAGCTGTGTGAGGCCATTAATTG